AGGGAGTACCTTCATCATTACTAGCATTTGTAGAGTAGTTTTAATATGCTGGAGGCTTTAAAATGGTTTTTATTCAATGTTCTCAATAAAATTGAGGCACTGAGCTTTCAGTTCCTAAAGAACCTTTTAAGCTTAAAAAGGCTTTTGATTGATTTCTTCCCAACAAGCTATGTGCATTAACTCAAATTCAATCTGCGCAGGAGCCTGCATATGTGTGCAAATGAGGGTTGAAATGTGAATCTCCAAGGACGGAACTTGGCCCTTGTAGAAAAGCAAAAATTTCCTCAGAGCATCTGTGACAAATCCACTCTAGCATTCTCCCAGATGTATTCCTAGGCCACTTTGGAAGGTGGGCAGAGATACTAGTACATTCCTTTCATCTTAAATGTATTCTCCAAAGACTAAATTATATGTCTTTAGGAGAAATGGATAATACCAAATGTTTACTCTTGCTTGTTTTATTAAAATAGCTAAGAAAAAATAAGACTGGATTCTGTGTAAAATAAAGTGTCCCAATATTCAGCAGTTTAAAGCTTTAGACTCTTTACTTACGGATATTGCTGGGTACCGACAATAATTCAGTACAGAACTATATCTATAGCACTTCTTTCAAAACAAATGTTTATTATATTTTCCCATTAGAAAACAAAATGTAGGCTTCCAGTTACTCGGATATCAATCTATTCTCCTTCTAACAAAAAAAGATACTAAAAATATTTTTAAAGACATAAGCTCACACGGGCAAAAAGAAAAGACCCCTACTAGAAGCAAGCTGAAGTACCCTGTAGAATACCAGAAGGCCTCAGGCTTTGGAAGCTCTAAGTAACAGTGAATGTCAGTATACATGATAGGGTTAAACACAGGGTGACTACTGAAAAGTCTGTAACTGAACTTACAGGCCCTCAGCTCCCTACAGGCAAGATAGCAAAGGTTTTATTCTGTGGAGAAGATGACCTGGAGACATTCTGGTTTCACAAGACCACACAGAGAGCACAGGCAATCATAAGGCTGAACACAGGTAAATCAACTGAACTGGAGAGTTATTTCAGCCCAGAAATTCAGGACTTAGGGTCACCACAACTATACGTTTGCCTCTTGGAGTGCGTGGATAAAACTAGATTCAAACCTGGCCCTGCTGTTTGCTAGCAAAATAATCATGGGCAAGCCAATGACCCCTCTAAGCTTCGGTTGCCTTACTTATAAAATGGGAATGATAACAGGATATCGGAGCTGTTGTAATAATTAAATTAAATATAGCATTTAGTGCATGTCTGGCAGGCACATGGTACATGCTCACTAAATGGAGGCTAGCATCATCAGTGAAGAACAGGTTCTGGGGCGCTTTCTGAAAGACTCAATATGGAACTACCATCAAGTACAAATACCTGTAATCTGATTCCTGTCTATGGAACATAACCTGAAATCCTAATAAGTTCAAGGTCAATATCAGGTTTGTGAATATTGTCCCATGTGCTCAAAAGAGCTTTGAAGTCAGACAAAATCAACTTTATTACTAGCTCCTCCAATAACTGATGTGGTCTTGGCAAACCATGCAAGCATTCCTCACCTGTGAAGTGAAGACACAGTTAGTAGTTGCAAGACTGTTGTGAAGCTTAAGCTATAATGCATGCTAGACACTAGCAGAGTGCCAAGGACATGGTGGGTATCCAGAACTGAGAGCCCTTTTTATCGTGATCATTATTAGGGGGGAAAAACTTACAAATGCCAACTAAAAACCTGGACGATTTTGGAAAAAATGTGCTCTGGGCTGTGTTTTTTTCTTCGTCAAATGTCACTGGAGGTGAGGATTGTGTGATTGATACCAGGGAACTGATTCTGCTGACTTCTAAGTCAGTTTGGAAGTTGACAGAGTATACTTCTAAATGGTAAACACTTCTCTTTTCGCCTAGGACAGTGGTCGGCAAACTGCGGTTCGCAAGCCACATGCGGCTCTTTGGCCCCTTGAGTGTGGCTCTTCCACAAAATACTGACTTCTGCGCATGGGCCACGAAGTTTCAATCGCACTGTACATGCACGCCCGCACCTGGTATTTTGTGGAAGAGCCATACTCAAGGGGCCAAAGAGCCGCATGTGGCTCGCAAGCTGCAGTTTGCCGACCACTGGCCTAGGACATCTGCAGACATTGTAGCCCAACTGGCAGCATAAATGATAATCAATGATTCAGGTATACTTTACAAACTGGTGATTTTAATTACTCACTTAGTTCTTCTTTCTCTGTAAAGTGGAGTCTCAAGCCAGAATTACTTCAAACAGTACTTTGGTGGCTTGGACATGGACACTTATCTTCATTTCTCGGATTCTGAGCCGCAATTTGTCTTTCAAGTAGAGAAAATATAAAACAAGACATGATGAGTAGAATTTCTCATCTCATAATGAAGTAAAAATAAATGTCACATAAAATCTCTAAAGATACTAAAAGACATAGCATAAAAATTTATTTCCTAGGATATTTTATTTACTGTCTCAATGGAGTATATTTTAAAAATTTAGAACATATTGTAAACCCGTGGCATAGCTACAGAACCTTCTATTCAGTTATCGTCCTAATTGAGACAATTAACCAAACAAAATACACATTCAAATGAGATATGTATCTAAACCATTTAGAAATAATTAAAAATTATAGATCAAGTTTTCTTTCACTGATCACAAACTATGGTAATGCTTTTGTGGTGCTCATTTCCTGGCTCACTTTTGTGTGTTTATTAAAACACGGTACTGTCAGATCACAGGGAGTATCTTATTTTCATTTTCATATCTCCAATCCTAAAGGGGATTAATTTGTCCAATTAAGCTGTTAATTAAAAAGACTCCTACAGAATGAACTGCAAGCTACCAATTGCATTTTACATTTTTATTGTGCTGTGCTCAAAAGCAATTTCCTAAATCCTTAAGAGCTCAAAAAGTTACTGCTTCATATTTCACTTTTGAGGGTACAGCTGGGATTGCTAGCTGATAGCCAAACCCATTTCCTCTTGTTTTGGGGCACACATCTAGACTATATATCCTAACCTCCCCTGTGGTAGGTTTGGCCACATGACTAAGTTCTAGCCAATGGAATATGAGCAGAAGTGATGTAGATAACTTCTAGGCCTCTACCAAATCTTCTACTCAGTATTTCCCATGGCCTCTTCTCCTCCACCAGCTTCTTGAAGGTGAGCATGCATTGAATCATGTCAAGAATGGTGAAATCGCAATATGAAAGGAAAATGGGTCCCTAAATCACCAACTAGAAGAGAGAAGCACACTGATCATTAATATCTACTGTGTATGTAATGAAAACAAGAACTAAACTTCAATTGGATTAAGACATTGAGATGATCTGCTTTAACAGCTAGTGTGATCTTAATAAAGCAAGCAGCTGAACTTGAGGAACATGCAAATACGTACCTAAAACCTAATTGGAAATATTAGCTTCCTTCAAATTTTTATCATACATATAAATCAAAGCAGAATTAATACCTCTAGTTCTCTATCAGGGTGGGTAACGTCCAGGCTGCAGGCTGTATAAGGCCTATGAAATCATTTGGTCTGGCCCTGCCAAGGCATTAGTGGTGAGTTAATTAAATGATTGACCAAATATAGCAGGCTAATTTTTAAGTTAAGTCTGCATGGCCCGCAAATGGTGTTGTAAGTATCTAAATGTCACCTGGTAGAAAAAAGGTTCCCCACCCCTGGTCTATATAATCTATCAGATAAACCATAGCAAGATATTCTAGACTCCTGCCCTCATTCCCCCAAAGTCTCTTCTTCCTGTCCATGCCTCAGAGGTCACTCATCAACTGACATTTTTATGCATCTTTCCTTCTGCCACTACCCTATACACAAAAATTGTTATTTCAAAGGTCAGTTCACAAACTCTCCAAGAAGGGCATTAACAGGCCATACTCAGTTACTTACTACCCACCAAGTCTGCATCCCATCTGAGGGCTAGCTCCTATACATGGATGTTGTTGCACAGCTACTACAAACCATTGCATACTTTCCCAGATCTTAGAACATATTCATGCCAGAAAGATCTTTAAAATAATCAACAGGGTTGGGGGGTGAAGGCGGACTGGGAGAGGTCAATGGGGAAAAAAGTAGACATATGCAAGACTTTCAACAATAAATATTAAATAAATAATCAACAGGGATTATTTTATTTAATTGAGGCAATTAACAAAATACACATTCAAATGAGACATGTATCAAACCCATTTAGAAATAATCAAAATTATAGATTAGGTTTTCTTTCACTGATCACAAATTATGGTAATGCTTTTGTGATGCTCATTTCCTGGTTCACTTTGGTGTGTTTATTAAAACACAGTAGTGTCAGATCACAAGGAGTATCTTATTTTCATTTTCTATACTCGCACTGACAGCTAAACACCAAAATTCACCAGAGAAGTTAGTATGAATGCAATGGTATGCCTCTGGATTTGTCTGGACTCAGGTAAGGCAGTCAAGCTTTTGTTGTCCTGCACCACTGAGTCATTGTCCAGAGGTCGCCAGGGGACAGAAACTTTCCAGTACTTACAGTTCTCTGAAAGTTGCATGGGGCAAAGAGACTCCAGTAGCCTGAAGGCAGCCGCCCTAGAGAGCCACAGCTATGTATAAAAGACAGCACACAGAAGGTAAGCCTAGGGTGCCCAGTAAAAGGGCTTTTCCCTGTGGTGGTTGATAACTTGCTCAGAAGCCTTTTTTTTCCTCAATAGGAATATTATTGCATAAGCAATAAGCCACATGTGTTGACTTATGTCCTGGAAGAAAATGCAATGATGACCTCGCAAATCTCTCATTGCCTGTGGATAAACTTACTGCATTCAAAGCCCACTTTCCTAAGCCAAGAAACCTAGTTTAGTACAGTGATTTGTGTACTTTATGGGCAAATATTATTGTCTAAAACAGAACTAAATACGCTAAGAGATGTAATATATTTTAATATTCTTTAAAATAAGAGGTTTGAAACAGACATTTTTCAACTTTTTATTGTCCTTAAAATGATTGTTCACATTGTTTCACAAGCAGGGGAAGAAAATACAATGACCATTTAGATATAAAATGCATAATCCAAGAACATCTTTCTTTAAACCAGTAGGGCCCTGTCACTGGCGATGAGAATGTTACTGCATGAGATAATCATATATCCTTCTATAATTTAATATAGGACTGAGACATTGTGCTAAAAATATCAAGCCTATCAAATGCTGAGATTATAGAAATATTGATAAAATAAATGTATTTAGAGATGGGTAATCGAAGGGATGAAGGCTAATGCCAAGGTCAGCAGCCAAAACACGGAAGCTCTGCCTTTTCTGACTCTGGAATACTTGACAAGTGATTTCAAACCTTTCCACTTCTCTGGCACGAGCACAACCTGTATGGCAAGCCATAGCTCCTACTTGCTTCTTAGCAATGCTCCAGGGCTAAATCAGATAAAAATTTATGTGCTATGCTTTAAGCTCCATTGAGGAAAGGCACTGAATAAACTTCAGGATAACTTATGAATCCTGAGCTTGCATTAATCATGTCCAAATCCATCTCATAAAAGGAAAAAATGGAAATAGGAGGCCAATGCTGTGTGGTTGGTGAAAAGCTCAAGAAACTTTGGGCAATGGTGATAAGCCCAAACAATACCATTTTATATACATGAAATCCTTGACTAATCCAGATTTTCACACACACACAAAACAAAAAACAAACAAACAAATAAAAAAAAACTATAACTCCTTCCAATGCCCAGAAATAGTTCACTGGCAGAACATCTGGTATATGAATCAGAGAAGTGTGCTATGGCAGTCCTAGTCTGAGATCCAATATCTAATTTCCTTTTAATTTACCATAATTATTTTTGTAAAACTTTATGGCTCTCCTTCAGTGGATGTGCTTAGAGAAGATTGCCAAAATACTGCCTTCTCCTCAGAATCACATTCTTAGGCCAGCTTCTCTCTACTTGTTTCCTTCCCTTCCAATTGCATTTTACCATCCACCCCTTAACCACTGTCTGCTTCTTTTAGCAATCTGTATTGAAGAGAAGGGACAACAAGAGTGTAATCTGAAAACTTAAACACGGGCATGTATTTGGAAATACAATCCAACTAGTACATTGTTCTAGCTAGTAGTGATGATTTGGTACTAATGCTTTGGTTTCATTTTATTTTAATAATGGCCATCCTTTCTAAAATTTCAGTGTAATTGAGTTATTTCAAATAGAGTTAACGAGAACAAGGCAGGCTCATCATTTAGAAACTGTGAGGCTCCCAAGTGATCACCAATCAGTTTTTCTAAACCAATAAGTGACTGAACAATTCCCATTTTCAAAGTCATAATTCTATGCTTTTATCAAACACGTTCTCTGATTTGCAGTAATGTGTTTATTTGGAGTTTAAAAAGACAAATGTAGAAGGAAAATGCTTTTCCTAAAAGCATAACAAACCTCAGCTGATTTTAAATGTCCAAGAACAGGAATAAAACAAGGAGTATCTTGTTATGTCTAAAACACAGCAGAATGACTCCTCCAGAGAAAAGGGACATATGTTTCCATCACCCCTAACCTACGAGTGCTTGTTTTTAAAATTACAAACTAATGGCATAGTAAGCCATAGTTAAGAGGAGGAAAGGTAGCTGCCCTTCAGAAGTTTATCCATTCAGAGAGGAAGAAGTCAAGGGGAAAATCACTCTCCTCTGACTAACACAATATAATTCTTTTCCTCATGATGGTGCCGCTGTATTTTTCTCCCTTTGAAGTTCCCATGGTTACAAAAGGACATGCCACACACACACATATATATATTTTAAAAGGATGACAAATCACAGGGATGCAAAATGGCCTCCTATAGTTGGTCTGAATTTGTCATTTTGCTTTAGAGATTTTCTCATTGGCCCACTTAATCCAGAATCACATGTACAGTGAATAATGTCAATGGAGGGATGGCTATTTTAAGAAACCATAAATGCCAAGTAACCATTTAAAGGCCATTACAATTTTATCCTGTGCGTGTGTGCATGCACACACACATGTACACACACACACACACACGCACACACACACATACACACACTGATAAAAGATATATGAGTTCACTTGAAAGGATAAAGCTCTGAAGCTCAAAACAGTACGGCTCTTCCTTACAGACTCTTTAGAAGAAGACTTGAAGCATAAAAATTATGTTTATTTGAACTATGCAAAGACTTTTACATTTAATCAATAGATTAGAAAATGACTTCAATCAAGAAATTTTTCAAAAAGGCTTTTTAAGTAAGAGCTAACATTAATTGAGCCCAAACAGAAGGGTACTTTGTGCCCTTCTCAATGTAGTGTTTGGCCCTTTGTACTAAAATGGGATGAAAGCTATCTGTTCCTAATGGGAAATTCAAACAGCATTTATTCGGTGACTACTAGTTTTAGAAACAGGAGAATGCACATATAGGAGGATAAGAAGACAAACAGCAATTGGACTAAAGAAAAGTGTCTGGCAGACAGACATAATCACTGAGGTTTGAGCAGACTACATCAAATTTTGGAGATTTCATCTCCTAGTGTCCCTGCTGTTACATGAGTAAGAGTTTTGACTTCTTCTGGGACTTAAAAATGTATCCTTTTTTCCTATTTGATAACTCAAGTCCTTTACCAAGTAGCCTTTCTCCCAGCCTGTTCATGCTGACTTGAACAGGGCAATCGGCTACATCAGATACAAGCTGTGAGGCCATTTTCATCCCAATATATTCCAAAGCTAAAGTGTAGAATGTCATCAACAATTACAAAATGAAGATGTAACATATTTCTAATATAACTACCTAAGATTTAATAAATGCTGGGTAATGACAATACATAAAATCTAGTAACGCATTTCACAGAGCAGGAAAACCTCCCAGATATCCAGGAACATGTCCTCTTCATTTAGGGTTAAAAGTTTAAAAGACAGAATTTTTTTCTGGATACATTCTATTTAGGCCCCTGCAAAGCTGGAGATTAAAATGTTATATACCACTTAGCTGTGGCTGACACATTAAAATGGACAATTGCAATAGTTCAGCAGATAGCGTTTTAACAAAAGTAAGTATCCTAGAGATTTTTGTTGGTTTGGTATTTTTAAAGAAACATGCTTGGTTCACTTCTTGTATTCCAGTTTTTTAAGCCTTACAACTTTGAAAAGATACTGTTTAGATCCAAGCAATACCCAAATAATGAAGATGCATTAAAAATAAAGGTCCTCAGGGGAATATAGGCCTAACGCAGTAGGCGGTGCATGCTCAGTGCAGCCTCTACTGGTGCTGTACAACTCTTTCAGGATGGCATACACCAGCAGTCCAGCTACCAGAGTCGGCAGGAGTCCGTGCCTCTGTTCATCGTGGAATTGGATGGACAGTTAAAAGCTTTCTGGAATTCTTCAAAGTTGCTAATTGCACCATTGACCCTAAAAAAGATATTTAATGCCATTTAATTCTTATATATCAACAGGTTCTGGATAAAAGTGTAGCAGCATATTGGTAGAAGGGATGTTGCAGTAATTTAATCTCTGTTTAGGACAGATAACTGAAACCCCAAATGTTTAAATAAACTTCCAAAAACAATTTAACAGAGCTGAGACTAGAACCAGCACCTCCTCAATGCCAGGCAAACAATTCTATCCATCTTCCAAATATTTTCAATTTCCTATGAACTGTAGGATTTACAGTTCCAATATGAGTATAAGATTGCATAATCCTAAAACTTTATAAATGCCTATAAACTATAGAATTTACCAATGCTTAGCTTCTCTATTTCTTTATATTTTGGGGGAAGGTATGACTGATATAAAGTGCATGTCTTAAATGTAAAGCTGATAGTTGTTGGTTTTTCATGTGTATAACATACCCATGTTACTATCACTCAGATCAAGACATGAGATATTTCTAGCACCTAGATGGCTCCCTAGTGTGCCCTACCAATAGTACCTCCAAGGAAAGCGACTAGTCTGACTTCTATAGCCATAGATTAGTTTTACCTGTTTTTGAACTTCATATGAATGGAACCACACAGTAGGCACTCTTTTGTCACTTACTTCTTTTATTCAATATTTATGTCTGTAAGATTCAATCATGTTGCTGCTATAACTATCTTTAAATAACCCATTCATTCTACACAAACACTTTCTCTAAATTCCTATTATGTTTGAAGGCTCATATGTATCTAGAATCTGGTTCATGTAACAACACACCAATGAATGGTGTCTAGTAGTTATTGGTGAGTAATGCTTTACTGGCATTAACTTCAAAATCTGGGGTTCTTGCAAGTTACCCCAACTGCAGTAAAGGCTGAAGATTCCTACTTAGCACTCTGGTTGTAACTGCCTTGTGGAAGTAGTATTTCCATTGTGTGATTTCTGCTGTATTCAAAAATATATAGTTATTGCAAACAACAATAATAAGCCAGCAAAAAACTCCCTCTCCATTTATTTCTTACTCAACTGACTTGGAGATTCAGCATTCTCAGTCACTGACTATTTCTTCGCTAATGATTTCTTTACCTATGAGCATCTGAATGAATACAATGGCCAATATCCAAAAAACATCCCCATAATCTCCTGTGTTTTAGCTGAGATGTGTAGGTAGGGATGTATATTTCATGGTGTGATTCATCCTGGGTAAGTGTTAAAGATAGAATTTAGTTGATAATTAGTAAGTATGCTCTGCAAAATTATCAGCTAAAATCCGACATTACAGGCAACTAGTTAGTAAAAGGAAATTCGTTTCTAAGAACTTATCTGTTGAGTAATTAATTTGTCAGAGGGCACACATTTTAGTCCATTAGAGACTGTCAGCATTCTTGACAGTTTAGGCTAGTGGGGGAGAATTTCTAACACAGTGATTAGATTTTATGCTATTGGGTAATTTATAGTCAATTTCTGAAGCATGTTTAAGGCAAGGTTTTAGGAATAACATTTTAAAATATAGGAGAAAGTTTAGATGACTTTCTTGCAATATGCTAATGGACTCATTTAAACATTAAATATAAAAATATACAGATATAATATGTTCTAAGCAAAGAATGAATAAATATTGTTAAGTTTTCCTATATTTCCCATTATAGTTCTTGTCCCCTACTAGAGTTCCCTCAAGCCATGCTAGACATCCAGCACAGGCTAAGTAATATTAACTTTAATTTTATTTTTACTTAATATTTTATACATTTTGAAAATTAAATAAGATTGTTATTCATAATCCTTTACCCTTCATATGTAAGCAAGTGTTTCAAAATAACATTCAAACTAAAAACCAAAATGTAGAGCTTTTGACTCTAGATATGAATTATAATAGCTTAATATGACCATATATCCTCCTTTGTGTTCAGAGCTATTCAGAAAGTGGCCACTCATTTATGTTTGTTGGTTAGCTACATAAAGAACTAGATGCATTAAATAGATATTCTAGCACAAAATAAACCAGAGCTCTCTGTGTTTTAAGACACAGTCCATTAAGATCACATCCTTGCCCAGGAAGAGACTTTTTGGGCCCATGTTTAGTTTCTATTTGGCCAGTATTTTTGCCTGTAAAATGGAGATATCACTATTCACAATACAGGCTTAGGTTCAAATCACCTATTTGGTAAAGCACTGAGATGGCTGCATAGGGCGGGGGAGGGAGATGCACATTAAAAACTAGTGTTACCCATCTGCCCTTTTACCTAAACTCAGGAGGGCTGTGAGCACCAATTTGGACTTGTTCTCGGGCAGCTTCCGGTCTGTAGGAATTGCACCTGACCTAGAAGAGAAAAGCATACTGGTAATTACGTTTCCATTCCAATTACACATTTTCTACTGCTTTAACTGCTCCAAATTACACTGAAGAGTAATTTTAGACTCAGTGGATGAAAGTTTTAGTAAATCAGATAAAACCTTACTCTGTAGTAACATCTATTATTCTAATCCCCGGAGTAGAAGTTTTTATCATTGTAAATAATTCCAAAATTTGAGTAAATTAAGAAGGTTTCCAGACAAATGCTATAAATCAAGAGAATGGTACAGGGGTCCTCAAACTTTTTAAACAGGGGGCCAGTTCACTGTTCCTCAGACTGTTGGAGGGCCGGACTATAGTTTAAAAAAAAAAAAACTATGAACAAATACCTATGCACACTGCACATATCTTATTTTGAAGTAAAAAACAAAACGGGAACAAATACAATATTTGTATTTGCATGTGGCCCGTGGGCCGTAGTTTGAGGACCCCTGGAACGGTATATATGCCCAGGAATCAATCAATGTATTCATTCAATTAATATCATGCTTGGAATAGCACTTATCAAATGTAACCATATTCATTTGAGTCAATAAAATGAATCAACCACCCATTATTGAGTATAGTCATAAGAAGTCAGTTTTTTGCTTGCCCTACCTTAGTCCAGCCCTTGGATAGGAGAACACTTCTCCATTCCTTTGAAGTTAGGTATGGCTATATCACTTGCTCTGACCAATGAAATATAATAAGTGATATATGTCACTTCCTAGAGAAGCTTTAAAAACTGGCAGAAGTTTTAAGAGCCTTCAGAACAATTTAAGTTGCTACATTAAGAACCAGTGCACATTTTCTCATATTTCTTTCCTACTCCTGTGGTGACCATGGAAGCACACGTCAAGATAAAGACTCTAAAACCCAGGTCCTTGAGTAATAACTATGAGCAGAGACCCATTAGTGACCAATGTTGGACATAGAGCATGAACAAGAAATAAACTTCCCTTGTTTAGTTTGTCCCTGCACCATAACCTACTTAATCCTGACTTGAAGCATGTCTTGAAACATGATATAGTCTTGAAGTATGAAAAGAACTAGGACACATGAATATGATTGGGGGGCAATTTAAAGTGGAGGAGAAAAGGGAAGCAAAGATATATTTGAGAAAAAATAAAAAAAGCAAGACACTCAGCGTGGCTGAACTGTGGTGCCTAATGGGCAGCAATGGGAGACCAGGGGCGATGGTGCCAGATTTCTGAAATTCTTACCAATACCCTAAAGTGTTTAAACTATACTTAAACACCATTATGATAAAATGATAAAATCGTATTTTAGAAAGATGTATCTGTCAGGAGCATATAGAAGGAAATTAGAAACTAGTTAGAAGATTATTTCTGTATGGGCCCCAGGAAGGTTCCCAATGAATATCCACTAAATGAGTAGAAATGGGAATAGAATGAAGTAGAAAGATAAGATCTGAAGGGGGAAATTGGCAGGTCACAGGAACTATAGGGACATAGAAAGCAGGAAAGGCTATACGATGCTTTGCTTTTCATAAAGATAAACCATGAGTCTCTGTGGTTCTAAATTTAACTTTGAAGATGTTTTTTCTAATATGATTCCTTGATTTCCTCAGAAGCTAGCTATTGTGAAGTTGTTTCTGGCACTCCATTTTTCTTATATTCTTACACCAGAGGCCTGGTGCACGACATCCGTGCACTGGAGCGGGGGGGGCAGTTTACTCAGCCCAGCCTGCTCCCTCTTGCAGTCTGGAACCCCTCAGGGGATGTCTGCCTGCTGCCGGCTTAGGCTCCCTCCGCAGGTGGACATCCCCAGAGGGGCCTTAGCGCTGCTAAGGAAGCTCCTGCCATAGCCGCTGCTCTTGCCAGCCATGAGCCCGGCTTCTGGCTGAGCAGTGCTCCCCCTGTGGGACCACACTGACCACCAGGGGTAGCTCCTACATTGAGCATCTGCCCCCTGGTGGTCAGTGCGTGTCATAGCGACCGGTCATTCCACCGTTTGGTAGATTTACATATTAGACTTTTATTATATAGGATTATTGTATAGTATTGTCTTTGCTTCCTGTATCATTTAGGATAATGTTAAAAACACATTATGGTTGTTATTGTTTTTCTAGTACCTTCTCAGGAGGGAAAATAACTTTGCTCCCTATAAGCAGACATACTTCAATGTGCAAAATATTTAAAATCTCCTCACTCTTCAGTAGGAAAAGCTTCTAGATAAATTTCTCATTAGTGATATAAAATGGTTTTCCATGTTTCCAAAATCTCTTCAGTTTAAAAAAATCAGATATGGTTTGGAATTTTATTTGGAGACATTTCAAAAGTATGACTGTAATGTTGCTATCAGTTCACTTCATTCATCTACAAGGAGCTGCTGTGAACTAGAATGTAACTAAGATGGACCTTAAGTTAGTAAGTAAGAACCTGAGTAAGAACTGATGGACCCTGCACTTTAGAGTAGGGGTCAGCAAACTTTTTCTGTAAAGGGAGAGATAGTAAATATTTTAGGTTTTGCTGACCATAAGATCTCTTTCAACTACTCAACTCTGCTGTTGTAGCAGAAAACCAGGCATGGACAATACGTAAAAGAAAGTGCATGGCTGTTTTCCAATAAAATGGCATTTATAAAAATAGATAGCAGGCCATATTTGGGTCCTAGTTTGCTAATCCCAGCTCTAGAAAGTTCTGACTGTGTGTGTGTGTGTGTGTGTGTGTGTGTGTGTGCGCGCTTATTTTAGATATATGACCCAGTATTGACCTATAACAAAGTCTCTTTCATTAAACTGTGTTAGTCTTATACTTATGAAGTGTCTTTAATATACCCAGCATCTTTGCTGGGTGCTATGGAGATACATAAGAAATGTAAGGATCCAGAAGTTTAACTATGAAGTTAAACTAGAAGTCTTCAACATTTTGAGAACAGTTAAATATTCAACTACATGGTAATGAAGGTAAGTATAAGAGAATCAGAGGTTTACAAAAATGAGAACTGGAGTCCTTGTGGAAGTGTGGATGATGTGGAGGAGGTGGAACTTGACATGGATCCTGAAGGATAAATATGAAATTCAATAATCTGAGGGGGAGGAGTAGACAGAGGGTCACATTATAGAAGGAAAATCAAAATCAAAGCCAAAGAGACAGTAATGGGCATGGCATCATGGAGTGGAAGTGAGGCCACCTTCCCAGCAAAAGATGAGTCTGATGGAGCTGTGGGAATTAAGAGCTGGTGGGTAGAGTTGGATAAGGCTGAGGACAACTTTTTAGAAAGCTAGATGAAAGTGCTTGGCCTCAATTCGTTAGAACTTGGGAGCCACTGCAGTTCTTTAGCTGGTCAGTAGTGAAATAAAAGTGGTATTTCAGTGGTATGTAAGACAGACAGTGTTGGAAAGATGCCAAAGTCTAGAAAACGTGCCAAAAGCTGGTGGAATAATCCAGAGTAGAAAAGATCAAGGCCTAGCCTACAGATGACAAAATAGGGTAATGGGGAGAAAGAGAGGCTGAATCTGAAGAGCAGTTAAAAGAATGAAACATCTAGCTTTTGGGGCATATGTTATAAAAAGAAGGACAGATAAATCAAATAAGACCTAAGAATCCAGATTTTCTAAGCAGGAAGATGCAAAGACGGGGGAGGGGGGGTATTAAAAGAAATGGGAAAACTAAAAAGAAAAGTCATTTTGTTCATGATTACACTTTTGCTGATATTGGGTCAGTAAATGATAATTTATTGAGAGCTGTCATGTCCAGCTTTTAGAAATAAAAGACCCCAGACAGGTGAGAGTCACTTAACCAGAGTTAACCGAAGAATACATGGGAATGCACGAACTTACTGAGAGAGAATACTAAGACTTAGGAACCAAAGGTTGTACTGATGAAAACTCTTGTCTAATGCTGAGCATACAGATACACATCTGCCCACTTGTGGCCGTGTGTCAGAACCTTCCACAATGTACCTCTGAGTTTTTGAACATGAGGCCTACACATTTGTGACATAAACCACTGGAATAGTTAATAGCAAAGAATTGGCACTTGCTTTATTAGCCAAAGACTGGAACTCAGAATTGTGCCTTATTTAGTGCACGTCTTTCTATTTCTGCTCATAGAGCCCATTAAACTCACAAAAGAGTTAATGATTATTCTTGCCTTTATTGTTGTTGTTTTCAGCTCTAATAGTCATCATATATTCATTTGACAGTTCAGAACACCAATGAATGAGTCACTAGAAATGGTTATTAATAGTATCAAATAGTAACATTGAGAAGCCAGGCTATATTACATAAATACCAAGTGATAGTAACGCTTGATTTTTTAAAAAAAAAAAGCCAATAAATTTTGATTCAATCAATTATGTCTCATAGTTGGGGGACTGGGTGAAAAAGGTGAAGGGATTAAGAAAGTACAAATTGCTAGTCCAAAAATAGTTCCAGGGATGTAAAGTACAGCATAGGGAATCCTATATAATAAAAGTGTAGTATGGTACCATCTCACACCTGTCAGAATGGCTATCATCAACAAATCTACAAATGACAAATGCTGGCGAGGATGCGGAGAAAAAAGAACCCTCATTCACTGCTGGTGGGAATGCAGACTGGTGCAGCCACTGTGGAGAACAGCATGGAGTTTCCTCAAAAAACTAAAAATGGAATTTCCATTTGACCCAGTGATTTCACTTCTAGGAATATATCCCAAGAAACCAGAAACACCAATCCGAAGGATATATGCATACCTATGTCCATAGCAGCACAATTTACAATAGCTAAGATTTGGAAACAGCCTAAGTGCCCATCAGCAGATGAATGGATTAAAAAACTGAGGTACATCAACACAATGGAATACATTGCTGCTGTAAAAAGGAAGGAACTCTTGCCATTTGCAAAGCATGGATGGAGCTGGAGAGCATTATGCTAAGTGAAATAAGTCAGTCAGAGAAAGATAAATATCACATGCTCTCACTCATTTGTGGATTATAATGAACAACATAAACCGATGAACAAAAACAGATGTAGAGACAGAGAAGCATCGATCAGATGCTCAAAAGTCAGAGAGAAGGTGGGGGGGGGGGTCGGGGTCGGGGGAGAGATCAACCAAAGGACTTGTATGCATGCATATAAGCATAAGCGATGGATGTGGACAACAGAGGGTGAGGGTGAGGGCAGAATTGGGGGGATGAGAGGACATTGGGGGGGATAAGGTCACATTTGTAATATCTTAATCAATAAAGGGAAAATAAATTTTAAAAAAAGTGTAGTATGCAAATTGTCCCCTCGACAGGGAGTTCATCCGGGAGTTCGGCCAGGGGGCAGTGCCAGCTGGGGGAAGGGAGGGAGTACCCGGCCAGGAGCCAGCAGCCGTTAGGGACCCTACCAGTGCATCTATTTCATGCACTGGGCCTCTAGGATAGTGAATAATATTGTAATAACTATATGTGGTCGAGGTGGATACTGGAAATATCATGGGGAAGGTTTTGTAAAGTATATGATTATCTAACTACTATGCTGTACACCTGAAACAAACACCAAATAATACTGAATGTAAAAAATGCTTCCAATTAAAGTATAATCGGCTAAAACTTTATGTCTCATAGAGCACTTAAAAAATGAAATTTTCCCGGCTGGCATGGCTCAGTGGTTGAGTATGGACCTATGAACCAGGAGGTCACAGTTCAATTCCCAGTCAGGGCACATGCCCAGGTTGCAGGCTCAATCCCCACTGTGAGGCATGCAGGAGGCAGCCGATCAATGATGCTCTCTCATCATTGATGTTTCTATTTCTCTCTCCTTCTCCTTTCCCCTCTGAAATCAATAAAAATATTTTTTAAATGAAATTTACCCTGAAAACAAGCAAGATAAAATTTCAGCTAAAATCAACTTTATGCCATTAAACTTTTGTTCCAAACTTTTGATCAAGGAAGCAAGCAAGCCAAAGACCCACATTTCATCTTTGATGGCCCTTCCTTGTTCTACTCACATGAGCATAACTCAGGAAGAAGAGCTGGTTATTGGTGAATGTGATACCTGGTAGCAGAGGCTCCTCAACTCCCTGCCTCTTGTCATTTATCCATTTCCTATAAGCCTGGTGAGAGAAGCAAAATGAATGATCTTCTGCAATGATGGCTTTTCTCTTTTCCCATCCAGTGCAGAGATATTAAATATATCCTCTACCATGTACATAATATATTTTGTCAAGGTTTCCTTTAAGAAAACAAACCTGGAAATGCAAATCAATGTTGTATGGCTTAACAGTGAGGCAGGTTCACCTGAAAAAAGACCTTACATTCAATAAATACCAAAGCAATAGGGTCAAAGTGTTCAATAACTACCCTTCCTGCAAAAAAAAAAAAAATGTTCTTTCTCTTCCTACCAGGGAACAAACAAATCAAGCACAATGACAAAGCCTATGGAAATAAATTTTGGGGTCAACATACTGCCAATTTTAAATTTTGCCAAGTAAGAGGGAAAACAATCATCTTCAATAACCATCATCTTGTAGAAATAAAATATATTTTAACTAGAATAGAGGAAGGATTTAATCTTCGAATAACACCCTGGTCTTTACATTGAATGGATTTAGCTTTATGAAAATCTTTCCATATCACCCTATGTTTCTTGTTTCACCACAAACCAGTGGATGATGAAAGCATTATTATGGACTCTTACCTGGCCCACTATATGAGAACCACTAGCCTCTGGTCATAATATATAAGTTTGATATTTTAAGAGAAAATTATAAGGAAGGAAAACTCATATGAACCTAGCCCCGAGGAGATTTCTGTAGCATGCTTTGATATTATTATGTATCTTCTGAAAACTATCTTTTAAATACATGATTCTTAATAACAAAGATTTTTGTTTAGGAAGTAACTTTACACCCTAAAAAGAAAAAAAAAGAAATGTAGCTCTATTCATATAATAGAGTATAATAGAGTCAATGGGGCAATATAATTCTACTTACAGAAATTCACAGAATTTACAGAAATCTAAGTCCTCAAGAACATGACTATGCTGTAAATTGAGATGTACCCATACAGTGTTTTAGAGCTTAATTTTAAAAATCACAGCAAATGTTGCAGTACATACCCTAAAAGCTTCCCGCAGACCTCCATTATCGGCAATATTTTCTCCCAGGGTCCTCTTCCCTTTTACCTAATGAGAAGAAAAAGAAAAAAGAGTGTTACACAGTCAACTATCATTCAGCAAGAGGCATAAATATGATAGCAATAAAAAGTGCCACATTTTAAAGAGAAAATTACATTCAATAAGTCAGAAGTAATCATAATATACTTTGAGATAGAAAACTAACCCCAGCAAGGTGCTCCTGAATATAATAATTTCTATTTTATTATGCAACACATTTTTTCCACCAACCTCTTTATTCTCACCCATTTAACCAGCTCCAATAAAATGTTAAAAAATATTCTCATTGACTCTAATTTAAATGGGAAAAATTAAAATGTCAATATACAGATTACTTTCTCTGATTAACTCACATAATGTGAGTATTCTTTTCAGTGTGTTCATGTTTCCAAAAATTTACCATCACATAGTAACAAGAGTTTCAGACCAACCATCACCATATCACCTTCAACAATTTCCAAGAAAAATTAAAAGGAGAGTAGTTTTCATGGGGAACAAAGGTTGAGGCTTGCAATATGCATGATAACTAACCAAGCATCCTTCTAAACTTTTTGCCAAGTAAGAGGGAAAACAATCATCTTCAATAACCATCATCTTGTAGAAATAAAATATATTTTAACTAGAATAGAGGAAGGATTTAATCTTCGAATAACACCCTGGTCTTTACATTGAATGGATTTAGCTTTATGAAAATCTTTAGAAATCCTTCTAAACTTTTGAAGATTGTTCCTTAAACCCTTTTATAGGCTATGACAAAGAACAATCTAAACCAATATAGCCCACAAGCCAAAATCCAACCTGCTGCTGTGTTTGTACAGACAGCAAGGTAAGACTGGATTTTATACTGTTCAGTCTTTGGGGAAGAAGAATAGAAGAAAGCATAATATTTTGGGGTATGTGAAAATTATGTGAAGTTCAAATTTCAGTGTCCATAATTCAAGTTTTATTTGCACACAGCCATGCCTATTCATGTACATATTGTCTGTGGCTGTTCTATCACTACTGTGGCAGGGTTGAGTTATTGCAACAGAGAATTTACAGCCCACAAAGCCTAAATTATTTACCAACTGGTCCTTCACGAAAGTTTGCCCATCCCTGCATAGGAGGCAGAATAATGTTCTCTGCTAAAAGATGCCTATGTCTTAATCCCTGGAATCTGTGAAAATGTTGCCTGATGTGACAAAAGAGGTTTTTAAAATATGATTAAGGTAAGGATATTGAGATGGAGACATTAGCCTACATTGTTCAAGTAAGTCTAATCCTATATAATAAAAGCCTAATATGCAAATCAACCGAACAGCAGAACAACTGGTAGGCAGGGGTGAGGCTGGTGAGCGGGTGGTGCCAGGCTAGCCAAGGCAGGTGCCAGCGGGCAGAGGGAGGGGACGGTGATTGGTGGGCGGTGTGGCTGCAGGGTGATGGGGGCGGGGCCAGCATCCTCCAATCAGCTCCACCAGTTGCCTCCCTAAGCAGTCAGTCAGACATCCCCCGAGGGCTCCTGGACTGTAGTTGGGTGCAGGCTGGGCTGAGGAAAGCCCTCTCCTCCCCAAGTGCATGAATTTTCATGTACCAGGCCTCTAGTGTAATTATAAGGGTCCTTTTCAAATAGAGAAAAAGGAAGTCAGGAGAGTGAGTGTCTCAGCGTGATGCAATGTGAAAAGACTCAACCCAGCATTGCTGGTGCTGAAGAAGGAATCTGGGCAGCCTGTAAAAGCTAGAAAAGGCAAGGAAACAGATTCTTCCCTAGAGCAGCTAGAAATTAAAGCAGTCCTAGTGAGACCTGAGTCAGACATACAGAACTGTATAATAATAAAGTTGTTTTATTTCAAGTCACTAAGTTTGTGGTGATTTGCTATAGTAGCAACAAGAAACAATACACCCTGTTCTAAACCTTCAAGCCATGGATCCTATCAACTCTTTATTTTCATGCTAGCCCAATCACCCAAGTATCAGGCAGTACCAATGAATTTAAACACATCTTCAGATAACAGTGATCTCTATAATCACCCAGGACCTTCCCAGCTTCAGTCTCAAAAAGTTACCACTCCAGCTTTACATATCATCTTACAACACAAACAAAAATTAACTCAAAAGGGATGATAGACTTGAACACCTAAAAACCATAAAACTCCTAGAAGAAAACAGGCAGTGAGCCCCTTAACAGTGCTCTTGGCAATAACTTTTTTTTATCTGACACCAAAAGCAAAAGCAAAAATGAATAAGTGGGACTGTATTAAACTAAAATGCTTCTACACAGCAAAGGAAACCATCAACAAAATTAAAAGGAAACCTACTGAAGGGGAGAAAATAATTGTACTAGTATATCATGTATCAAATAAAGGACTAATATATAAAATATAACAGAGAACTCATACAACTCAATAGCAAAAAAACAAACAATTCAATTTTTAAAAATGGACAGAGGGTCTAAATGACATTTTTCCAAAGAAGACATATAGATGGCCAATAGGTACATGAAAAAATGCTGAACATCGTTAATCATGAGAAACATCCAAATCAAAACCACAATAAGATATCATCTCACAGCTGTTAGAAGAGCTACTATAGGAAGGAACTCCTACCATTTGCAACAGCATGGATGGAGCTGGAGAGCATTATGCTAAGTGAAATAAGTCATTCAGAGAAAGATAAATATCACATGTTCTCACTCATTTGTGGATTATAATGAACAACGTAAACCGATGAACAAAAACAGATGTAGAGACAGAGAAGCATCGATCAGATGCTCAAAACTCGGAGAGAAAGCAGGGGAGGGTGGGGGGTGAGGGGGAGAGATCAACCAAAGGACTTGTATGCATGCATATAAGCATAAGTGACGGATGTGGACAACAGGGGGTGAGGGTGAGGGCAGGATTGGGGGGATGAGGGGACATTGGGGGGGATAAGGACACATTTGTAATATCTTATTCAATAAAGGGGGAAAATAAAGTAAATAATAAATAAATAAATAAATAAAACTTGTATAAAAATTCTTGTACAAATGCTTTTTGTGAACATGTTTTCTTTCTCTTGAATAAATACCTAGAAAAGGAAAAAAAAAGACAAGAAATAACAAGTGTTGGCAAGGCGTATAGAAGAAGGAACCCCTGTACACTTTTGGTGGGAATGTAATTAGTGAAACTACTATGGAAAATGGTATGAAAGTTCCTCCCAAAAATTAAATATAGAATTACCATATGATCCAAGATTTCCACATTCCACTTCTGGGAATGTATTCAAAGAAAATGAAAACACTAATTCAAAAAGATATATGCACCCCCATGTTCACTGCAGTAGAAACAATCTAAATGACCATTGATGATAGATGCATGGATAAATAAGATGTGAAACACACACACACACACACACACACACACACACACACACACACAATGGAATACTACTCAGCCATAAAAAAGAATAAAATCTTGACATTTAAGACAACATGGATGGACAATAGAGGGTATTATGCTATGTGAAATAGGCCAGAGTGAAATAAGTCAGACAGAGAAAGATAAATACCATATGATCTCACTTATGTGTGGAATCTAAAAAAACAAAACAAAAATGAAACTGAATTCATAAAGAGAACAGAGTGGTGGTTGCTAGAGGCAGAGGGTGGGGGTAGGGGAAATGAGTGAACTTGTTTTTGTTTTGTTTTCAGTTTAAATAAACTGAATTAAAATTATTTTTTTGTTAATCCTCACCCGAGGATATTCTTCCATTGATTTTTAGAGAAAGTGGAAGGGAGGAAGAGAGACACACAGAGAGAAACATCAATGTGAGAGAGACATATCAATTGGTTTCCTCCTGCACACTCGGACTGATGTCGGGGATTGAGCCTGAAACTGGGGTACATGCCCTTGACAGGAATCGAACCCGCCACCCTTCAGTCAGCGGGCCGATGCTCTATCCATTGAACCAAACCAATCAGGGCTGAATTAAAAATTTTTAAAAGAAAAAAAAATAAGGCTATTGATTTTCTTAGCAACAGCTTCGTTGACACTATTGCTAGTCTACCAGCTGAAGAAATAGTTTAGCTGAGCTCTTGATAATTGTGACTACTGATTAGGGTGGGTGCATACCTTGGACATTTTTTCATGGAAATATTTGAGCAATAATCGTTGAAAAACTACATAATTTCATCTAGTCATTACTGGAGGTGGACAGAATATTTATAAGGTTGCTGTACTTTGCTTCAGTATAAAGAAAAGCAGCGGGGCATCAGAGAAATGCAAATTAAAACTACAAGACATCGCCTCACACCTGTCAGAATGGCTACTATCAACAAACATGTGTAGAAGAAGATATGGAGAAAAGAGAACCCTCATGCACAGTTGGTGGGAGTGCAGATTGGTGCAGCCACTGTTGAAAGCAGTATGAAGTTTCCTCAAAAAATTAAAAATGGAATGGCCTTATGATCCAGATATTCCACTCTGGGAATACATCCAAAGAAGCCCAAAACACTAATTTGAAAGAATATATGCATCCCTGTGTTCTTTGCAGCAGTATTTACAATAGCTAAATTCTGGAAGCAGCCCAAGTGTCCATCAATAGATGAGCGGATAAAAGAGTTATGGTACATTTATACAATGGATTACTATGCAGCTATAAAAAAAAATAAGGAAATCTTAACATTTGTGACAGCATGGGTGGATCTGGAGAATATTATATTAAGTGAATTAAAGCAGTCAGAGAAAGACAAGTACCATATGATTTCACTTATATGTGAAATCTAATGAACAAAATGAACTAACAAACAAAACAGAAACAGACTCATAGAGAATAGACTGACAGCTGTCAGAGGGGTGGGGGTGTGGGCTGGGTGAGAAGGGTGAAGGGATTAAGCAAAGAAAAAAAAAGAAAGACTCATGAACACAGGCAACAGTATGGTGATTGTCAAAGAGAAGTTTAGGGGAGGTAGAAGAAGGTAAAGAGGGAGTTAATGGTAATGGAAGGAGACTCACCACTTGGGGTGGTAAACACACAATACAATAAACAGATGATGCATTACAGAATTGTATACCTGAAACCAGTTTAATTTTATTAACCAATGTCACCTCAATAAATTATTTTTTTAAAGTTATGAGTGACTAGATATCTTGTTCAGGACCAAAAGTTAGAATTGTCCCTTGCCACCCTGTAGCAACCCAATGGCTATAAAGTAAATCCATGCTTCTTTTAGTGAACACCTAAAATCCCTTGGACTACTAGAGACTTGGAATTCAAATACTCCCCAAAACACAGCACATCTTGACACAGTCTTCCTCCCCAAATGTGAGTGAACTGGAAAAATAAAAGGGTTTGTATTCCTAAATGTCCCAGGGGAGAATGAAGCTGTTGGCCTGGGAACCACACTTTGAGCACCAATGGTCTAAAGCAAGCTAACATCCCAATGAGAAAAAATCCACAATATGTCCCCTTCACCACAGTCATACTCACATTTAGGCCAGCTTTCTTCCAGTAATAGTTGCTATACTGGTTAACCATGCACTTTGTTTTTTCCTTAAACTTTTCTTCGGAGTCCAGAGACCACCAAGGATCCAGGTTTCCATTTTTATCATATTTTCTACCTAGCAAAAGGAAAGTTTAAATATATTTGTATTATTTATGGAAACTAATTTCTTCATCTTCCCTATCCCTCGTTTCCACAAGTCTTGAAAAAGCAGTCCCAAGCAACAGAGACTACTCCTGGGAGCTGCTCCCGCCTTCTCTCCAGCGTCACAGGTTCATTGTAAAAGAGGAAAAAGAAGAAAGAGGTGTGAGGAAGTTCTTTCCTTCGAAGCAACAAAGAGCATTTCAATAAGATTCATCAGAAACACCATTCTTTTTTTTTTCAGTTCAAACTCATTTCCTTTTTATTAAAATTCAAGTTACCATTACATGGTTTGGTACTCAATAAAGGAAAATTTGTTCAAATAAGGTAATATGTTATCATCAGTATTTCCAGGTGATTGTTTACACTCAAGTAGTAATATCAGTAAATGCTTGGGAAGCCTATTGATGGGGTTTATACCTTGTCAAGGCCCAGTTCCTCTGGAGTGGAGATTCCCAGTTCATTGAAAGTTGGTCTAAGTTCCTGGATGACATAAGGGTAGATTTCCTTATGCGGTCCTGCTTTGTCCTTAACAACCTCTAGGATGCGAACAGCTCTAGCAAAACCATTTAACCGTCTGCGTGCCCGCAAAGCAGCATCAATGATTTGGGGTTCTGGAACCAGATCTTAGCCAACGAGCATATTCATCCCTTTAAGCAATTCCCAGGCATCAATATCTGGCTTGTTGAAGTATGTCATCCAGCGAGCATCAAATTCCTCATCTGTCTCATGTGACCCACGGGAGTAGCAGCAAACTGACTGGATACATCACCAGGACAGAGCCTCGGGTAATGATTGTGGTGGCAGGTAAGCCGGTCTCCTTTTTTTTTTCTGGCCCACACCATTTTTAACTAATTTTGGATTCTTTGTCATCACCTAATATGACCCAAAATCTTCTCTGGATTATGAAATTAAATGGCTTCAATCAGAAAGCCGGTGGAAGGAGTCAGAACACCAGTGAAATTCCAAATGATCCATAGGAACAGCCCTAATGAGTCATTCACACCCAGCAATCACAGCCCCTGACTCAACCCTATAGGAACGTGTTTCCTCCAAGTTGTCAGGAACTGAGAGACACAAAACCTGTTATGAATCATTCCACAGCCATCAGTGTGGATGGAAGGCCCATCTGTCCTGCTATGACAAGGAAGGTTGCTTTAAAAAGAGAACTTGGAACAAGAATGGAAATCTCCAAAACATAATGGAAAATGCTTTTCTTTTTCCTACAGGCTCACTCTTCACTTTCTCTACACCCTTCAAAAATGTTTGGGTGTATCTGAACTATCTTCTGTACTCACCCAAGATTACCATTGGTTTACTTTTTTTTTTTTTTATCCTCATCCAAGGATACTTTTTCCATTGATTCTTTTAGAGAGAGCAGATGGAGGGGGAAAGAGAAAGAGAGAAACATCGGTGTGAGAAAGACACATTCCTTGGTTGCCTCCCACACGTGCCCCAACTGGCGCTGGGGCATCGAGCCTGCAACCAAGGTATGTGCCTTTGATCAGAATCGAACCCATGACCCTTCAGTCCGCAGGCCAATGTTCTAACCACTGAGAAAACCCGGCTAGGGCTAGTTTAAACTTAATTATGCAGAGAATTCTTTGTTGGGCATAAAAGAAAGTTCCCAAACCAAAGATGTTAATTGCTCTATTGCTCTGGCTGGTGTGGCTCAATGGTTGATCATCAATCTATGAACCAGGAGGTCACAGTTCGATTCCTGGTCAGGGCACATACCTGGGTTGCAGGCTCCATCCCCAGTAGGGGCTGTGCAAGAGGCAGTTGATTAATGATGCTCTCTCATCATTGTTGTGTCTATCTGTCTCTCCCTCCTCCTTCTTCTCCTTCTCTGAAATATATATATATATATATATATATATATATATATATATATATATATATATATATTAAAGATGTTAACTGGAATAATCTGAAGCTCTTCAATAAGGCTAGATGCCACTACCACCCTCTCTGGAAGAGTATGGAGTCACTGTCCTCCAACCACTAACCAAGCAATTATAAAATAGATACTAGGCATGTCCTTATATGTACAATGTACTGATTACAGAGTGAAATTATTAGATGTTGCCCTTTGAGAGACAATCCTGAAGGCATCTAGAAGATTCCGAGGAAGCACTGTAGCACTGTACTTAAATTTCCCAGGAAGAAAGACCCAGAACCAAGAGACCAATACTGGCTTTTGTTTCTTATCTAAGACTATCCTCTCAGATAAACCAAGCATGCAAAGCTAGAAAGTATTGCTCTGGGTATTCAGATGACTACAAGGCAGCTATATTTTAACAGGGAGGAAAGACCAAGGGAGCACAAAGCCTATGTGACTAAGTAAGGACTAATGGGAATACAGGAAGAATTGTCCAGAAGGAGAAGAACCAAAAGGGTCTCTGGCCCTGGGAAGATACCCAGGAAAGGATGTTGGAGATATCACAGACATGAAAGAAAGGGGTCCCTCTATTAAATGTTGCCTTGAGCCAGCCGGGTTCTCGAGTCTACATGTAAATCTTTGTGTGGATGTAGATGTGATCATAATTTGCTGCTAATTCATAAGTTTTGGAGATTTCATATGGCTTTCCAATAGTACTCCAAACTTAAAGGAGAAAGAAGTGTTGTTTAAAAATGGTAACTCTCAAAGAGTAATCATTTCTTTAGTTTATGGCATATTCTGCTCTTTTCTTTTGCTTAAATGTCTTCAGGGAACATAGTATATTCTATATTATGCATTATTAGGAAAGCATATCCTTTTTAAAATTCTGAATATATGCCAGCATAGAGAAAAACAGAGACTGCGCATTGCATAATCCTTGAAACAGTATAAAGGAACCAGTCAGCCAAGCTCCAGATTCCTAACTCACTGAATCCTCATTTGGCAGCATGTATAATCATCCTCAGAGCAGAGCTCACACCTCCAGGGAGAGCATCAAGATGGTGAATAAAGAAATGACAAAGGGAAGAAGCTATAAAGGAATTCCTATAATTATTGTGGCAACTACAGCAATTGTGATCTAAATGCACAACTAACTTCATTGAAATGACAAAGTCACTTTTTATCATTCTATCCCATTGCAATGGGAACAATTATTTATTTATTGCAAGCTATCACTGCAAGACATGGGGGAAAGTTTACAATCAGCAATCATACTTCATTGGATAATCGTCAAGCTATGATGATGCCACTATGCAAAAATAATAGCAACAATTAACATCCACATAGTCAACATTATCATAAAAGCAGCAGCTTATAAAATGAACCAGTACTTACCATTATTATCAAATCCATGTGTAAATTCGTGTCCAACAATTACTCCTATAGCACCATAACTCAAAGACCTACAACATAAATATATAATTTGGAGAAAATTACAAGCATGAATCTCAGAGCATAATCCTTTAATTTTTTTCAATGAAAAGCAAAGATAATTTGCTTTCTAGTACCCATGTTAATAATAATCAAAAAATTTAAAAAAAAAATATCCAGCCCTAACTGGTTCGGCTCAGTGGATAGAGCGTCGGCCTGCAGACTGAAAGGTCCCAGGTTCGATTCCGGTCAAGGGCATGTACCTTGGTTGCAGGCACATCCCCACTTGGGGGTGTGCAGAAGGCAGCTGATCGATGTTTCTCTCTCATCGATGTTTCTAACTCTCTACCCCTTTCCCTTCCTCTCTGTAAAAAATCAATAAAATGTATTTTTTAAAAAAATCCAAATGTGCCCTTCTCATTAAAATAGACAAAGAAAATATAAATTCTAACATTATCATTATGACCATGTATGGGGCTTATTTCTCCTACCCTATGAAATTAGGGGTGTGAAAGAAATGGTTTCTAAAGTCCCTTCCAGCCCTAATGTTTTTATTATTCTATATCAGCTCTAGCTGTAGTTTATATTTATAAACACCCAAAGCAGTAGCAGGGTTTGAAAAGATCCTGTCAGTCAACATACCATTTATTTTTTATCTGAGAACCTGTTGAAAAATCGCTACAGACTTAGAAGTTAAATTGTTTTTCAAATGTAGTCATAAAAAAGGAATAGAGCAGAGATTAAAAGGGATCAGCCTGCTGTCAAGGTAGTCACGTTTCTCTGCTTTTGTGACAGACACGCTCACAACTGAATGACAAAGACTGTGAAGGCTTAACCAGATTTGGAAAAGTCATTTTATCATTTCTCTTCACCTCTGAAGATGCATGTGGTAGATTACCTACAAGGGTGACCACTAACAATTCCACACACCCTGAATGCATGTGCCACCTCTCCCAACAAGAGGCAACGACTTCCTTTCCCTTAAATCTGGATAAACCTCCGGATTTGCTATGATCAAAAGAAGGCAACAGAAGGGGCCGGATGTGGCTTCTGGACCTACACTTTGACAGGCCTTAATGCTTAAAAATTTCCTACCTCGGAAGTCAATTCCATGTAAAGAAGGTAGACTAATCAGCTGGACACAAAGAGGCCAAGCAAGGCAAGCAAGAGACACCAAAAGTTGTCAGACTTCTAATGGAAGAGAGACCTAGCTAGGCCCCAGCCATTCAAGCCAGTCCAACTGGGACAGCAGACATGTGAAAGTCACCTTAGATCCCCTGGTCCCAGTTAAGTTGCCAGCCAACGAACACCACACAGAACAGAGACAAGCGTCTTGGCTGAATCTTGCCTGAACTGTGGATTCATATGCCAGTAGTGGTTGTTCAATGGAGCTTTGTTACATGGCAATATAACTGAAACAGAAGCATGTTAATGATGTATGAAGTAATCAATAAGGGGGCTTCCACTCATGTGTGTCTGGGATCTTCTCTCTCAGCTTTAAGTTCTATGAAGGTCAAACCTGTATCTACTTGATCACTGCTAAATTCTCTGTACCTAGTACACAGTAAGAAAGTAACAACGATTTAACTAACAGATTAACTTTACCGTTTCATGCAAGTGACAGATTGATATGTACCTTCTTCTAGTTATTTAATGTATGGATAAGGATTATAAACAACTTAAAATCCTTGTTATGAGGATACGTCCTGAGATTTGCAATTATGCTAAAAATACCAGTATTTCACAGTTACTTCCTGACATGCACCATCAAAGTAACCCGGCAAATAGACAGGACCAGTAAGTGGAAGGAACGAGAATTTTTGAAGCAACATGTTATTACAGGACATAATGATCCTTAACATGCTAATTGTTTGTCTCAACTATACCCAAGGAAGTGCTGCAAGATTTAATTTTTCCCCTTGGTGGCAATTCTTTCCTTTGTTATTTCTTTCCTGCAAGGTAATTTGCATTTGAAAAAATGCTTCCTACTGTTTTTCCATCATTGCAAACCTTCATTAAAGAAATAAGAGTAAAATTATGCATTTCAATCATAGAGCTATCATAGCAGTGTGGGACAAACTTGTAATTTTACATAGTGCTAATTTTTGCAGCAGTAGCTATCACTGTGCAGCCTGTAACATTTCGTTTTTCCAGACCTCTCAGCCCTGACAATCATATTCGATTCTCTACAAGCCTTGGTCAGTGCTGTTGAATTTAAGAGATGAACAATGGACGTTTACCGGAACTGTTCTACAATAAATGTCCCTTCAGAGAGACTGCTCCAATAAGCTTCCTACTTGCAAAGGGTAATAGAGAATTCAGAAAATGATTGAATCATTGTAAGTTCTGATTCTCAGCCAAATAATTGCAATCCTTTGGACAAGAGACAAAGAAGTAATTTTAGATGACTAAGCCTTACAATGATAATGGCTCATCATACTAAATTCACATATTCCATGTTATCAATGGACATTATTTAAATTAGCATATCATAAAAATAAATAAATAAATAAATAATAAATACATAAAACTGTGCCTTTTAACAATACAACTGGCTGGCCAGAACAAGAAGACTCCTGCAGAGAAAATCTAGCCTTCCAAAAATAAAATGGGAAAGATGAAATGTTTCCACCTACTCAGTTTCTCTTTTGTTCTTACTACCCAATGGATTTAACAAATGCACAGGGTTTGCTGTCAACAGGGAATCAATCATACTGCTGTCTGGAGCAACCATTATCTCAAGCAGTCATCAAGTAAGGGCTACTCTATGCCTGAAATGTGAATTCATAAAAATCTCAGAGTTAGAAGTGTCTTTAAGGTCATCTAACTCTACTCCTTAGCTGAAGTAGGGCCCTCCTCTACAAAAACCAGTTCAAAAGGTCCTAAGACTTCTCCTTGGGCACTTTCAATAACCAGGAGCTCCCCCCACTTCTGAGGTGGCCCATTCTCTCATCAGTGGTTGTAAATAAAATAGATCTCGCCATAGCCGGTTTGGCTCAGTGGATAGAGCCTTGGCCTGAGGACTGAAGGGTCCCGGGTTTGATTCTGGTCAAAGGCATATGCCGGGGTTGCAGGCTTAATCCCCAGTGAGGGGCATGCAGGAGGCAGCTGATCAATGATTCTCTCTCATCACTGATGTTTCTATCTCTCTCTCCCTCTCTGAAATCAATAAAAAAATATTTATAAAGAATAAAATAATGGTCACAGAGGCAGAGCTGCCTCGAACAGATTGTCAAAATGCAGCGGGAAGGCCGGGGAAAGTTGGGGGGCAGGAGGGAGGGGTATAAGAGATCAACCAAAGGACTTGTATGCATGCATATATGCATAACCAATGGACATGGGATGCTGGGGGGTGGGGGAGGCCAGGGGATAGTCAAGGGCGGGAGGAAAAAAAAAGACACATATATAATACCCTTTGTAATACTTTAAGCAATAAAAAAAAGAATAAAATAAAACAGATCTCCCTATTGTTAAAATGGAATCTCTTTCCTATGTCTTATATCCATTGGGTGGAATCTCTTGCTGAACACTCTCTGACCCCCCAACCCAAATATAGTAAATCATTCTGCTACCTTAACTTTCTTTCAAAAATACAAAGTTATGAGGTTCTTCCTCAAATGCTCTCTTCTCAAGTTCTTTCAACTATTTTTCTTGTCATGAACCTAGACCAGTGGTCGGCAAACTGCGGCCCCTTGAGTGTGGCTCTTCCACAAAATACCACATGCAGGCGCTCACGTACAATGCGATTGAAACTTCGTGGCCACACTCAAGGGGCCAAAGAGCCGCATGTGGCTCGCAAGCCTCAGTTTGCCGACCACTGACCTAGACCAACATTTCCCAAAACATAGGAAAAGAGGGATTTTAGGAACCTCTAGGTTAAACATATTTAAATAAGTTTCTTTCTTACCTGCCTGAGGACTGGGGGGTCCCGGGTTCAATTCCAGTCAAGGACACATACCTTGGTTACAGGTTCTTCCCAGGCCCGGACCCTGGTTGGGGCTCATACAGGAGACAACCAATCGATGTGTTTCTCTCACATCAATGTTTCTCTGTGTCTTTCCCTCTCTCTTCCACGCTCCCTAAAAATCAATGGAAAAATTTCCTCGGATGAGGATTAACAAAAAATAAAAATAAATAAATAAGTTTCCTTCATAGAGTTTCTTAGGAATTTTTATGCTGCTAAGTATTGTGGTTCTCCAAAACAAAGGGAAGAGGAGGATGACTTACCTCTATTACTACTTCATGGAACACACACTTTGGAATATGTTATCTTAGGCCATTTACAATCCTGATTCTCTCCTCTGGAAACAATTCAGCCTATCAATGCCCCCATCATTATACCCAACACTCAGGGGAGGGCTAAGCTGACCAGTGTGGGCAGAAAGGATAAGCACTAGCTGGTTCTGAAGGCTATCTGTCCAGAACAGATGCATGTATGGGAATCCATCTCACTGGACTTTGATTCCCATGTGTCCAGCATCTCCATATTTCCAATGCTTATCTTAATAGAGGAGGGATGGTTTCAGTGCAGACACAGAACTCTTTAGGAAAAAAAATGCAAATCTCTCTTCCACTGAAGTCTCAAATATGGCTCAGCAAACCAAATGTTGAACTAATCAACACTATTATTATTTTCTAAGTTCTTATTATTTTAATTTTTATATTAAAAATCATCTCACAGACCCAATAAACAATTTCATCAAATCGATAACTTCAAAACTGAACCAGACTATTTCCAAGTCTCCAGGTATATAACCACAATAACAGAAGATCAGTTAAATTGCTAGTGATGAGCAGATTCATAGAATTCTAGAACTTTTTTAGTTTGAAGGGAGCTTAAAGAATATTTAGCCTAAACCTCTAATTTTATATAAATATATATTTTTTTCCTAATCTTAACAATAGGGAAAATTGATTCCAAATATCTGAACACTAATGAAAACTATGCAGCTGAGGCCTAGGATGATATTAATGCATTTGGGCGATACAAACCACTTTCATTTTCATTTATGCTAACAACTCTGCTTTCCTACCATAGGCTTTACTGTTGCCTGCTCCTGTCCACTCAGCACTCACCATTTCCAAGCATAATAATCCAACATCTTCCAACTGGCAGCACCTGAAGCTACAGATGCTCCTCCATTTACAATAGGGTTACATCCCAATAAACCCATTGTAAGTGGAAAATAACTTAAGTTGAAATGCATTCAATACACCTAACCTACGGAACATCATAGGTTAGCTTAGCCTACTTTAACTGTGCTCAGAGCAATTACAGTAGTCTACAGTTGGGCAAAATCATCTGACACAATGACTACACCGCAGAGTATCAGTTGTTCAGCTTCATGATCACTTGGCTGACTGGGAGCTGCAGCTCACTACTGCATCCAGCATCACGAGTATCATACCACATAACACTAGCCCGGGAAGAGGTCAAAATTTCCACCAAATGTGTATTGCTTTTGCACCATTGTAAAGTAGACAAATCTTAAGTTAAAGCATCATAAGTGGGGGACAGTACATAGTGGCTTGCAGACTTTTCCCGCCACCAAAGCCCTCTTGGCCTAGGCTGGGGAATGCCAGAAGTTAATACAACTGGTGGAAGCCCTCAAGCAAGGATGGAAGGTGAATTGTAGGATAAATACTCTAGCTCCCTTGCCCTCGAGACAGGATCACATTGAAGCATATTCTACAGCTCTGCAGCAAGACTGTTGTCCACAGTGATAACAGGCTTTGTAACAGACGTGTCATAGGCAGAAGAGTGGCCCCCAAAAGATGTCCACATGCTAACTCCCAGAACCTGTGAATATGCTATTACATGGCAAGGGGGAATTAACACTGTTAATCAGGTGAGCTTAAAATAGGGAGATGATCCTGGATTAAAGAGGACAGTGGAAAGAAGATGTGACTATGTATGAATGGTCAAAGAGATGCAACTTCGCAAGTTTGAAAGATGGAGGAAGAGGGCCATGAGCCAAAGAATGTGGACCACCTCTAAAAGCTAGAAAAGTCAAAAAAAAAAAAAATAGGTTCTTTCCCAGAGCTTTCAGAAAGGAATGCGGCCCTGCCCATATCTTGTGTTTAGCCCAGAGACCCAGGTTAGACTTCTAACCTATAGAACTATAAGCAAATAAATTTACATTGTTTTAAGCCAAGTTTGTGATAATTCATTATGGCAGCCATAGAAAACTCCTACAATACAATTTATTGCTTCCTTCCCTCCTTGTCTCATTTCCCCACTCTCCTGCTAGTGTTTCCTGGCATCACCTCCCAAAAGAACTATGTTCACTTGAATCCTTGTCATAGGGTATGCTTTTGGGGAAGCCCAAATCAAAACATTGCCACCATATTTAATCATATTTAAATTGCCATTTATCCAAACCAAAATACAAGAGACTGGACGTCTAAAATCAAGACTAAATTTTCTGTGCACTAAAGCAAGCAAAAGCACATAATGAAAGTGGTGATATTATTGACAATGAATATTATCAGAATTCCCAATATGTATAGAAACTCTGCATTACATAAGTCTACAATCTTTTGGCATTAATGGCCTTTAAACTGATATACATAACTCCAGACAAGCCAATTTTAAAACTATTGCATAGCTACTCAGATTATATTTCTAAAGACAAATCTGATTACTTGCTCAAAAATGTCAATATTTTCTATTGGCTATTTATGTCCAGGCTCTTTACCCGGCATTCTGAGCCCTCCAATTCAAACATCAACCCTCTTTTCTTGACTTCTTTTCCACTGCTTCCCTTCATATACCATTTAAAATAGTCAAACTAAACTCTTTGCTATTCTATCATCACATTTCTTTCCTTTTCTCACATTGTTTCTTCTATCTGGAATGTGGTTTGTTTGTTTGTCTGTCTGTCTGTTTGTTTGTTTGTTAATCTTCACCCAAGGATATTCTCTCCATTGCTTTTTAGAGAGAGAGCAGGGAGGGAGAGAAACATCACACATCAATTGGTCGCCTCCCACATGCACCCCAACCAGGGCCTAGAATGGAACCTGCAACCCAGGTGTGTGCCCTTGACCAGGAATCGAACCAGCAATCCTGTAATACTCAGGCTGAAGCTCCAACCAATGAGCCACACCGGCCAGGGCTGGAATGGTTTTAGACCCATCACCATCAACTCAAATCCCAACAATCCTTCAAGGTCCAAATATTTGTAGTATGAGTCAATGCACAAGTGAATAAATGCATAAAAACTAAAACTACCTGTATATTAATTGGCTTTTCTGTGCAGGCAGACATACGCCCTGGTAACAAGAATCAGAAAACAAATACCTAAAATGGTGAGAGTGGGTCCAGCCCATGCCAGGTTCCATGTCCTCTTTTTGCTGAACAACTACTGACTTTGTTTCTTGTTTTTTTTTGTTTTTTTAAACTTCTATGTTCTGCCAAAGCAGCATGTTCTTCCTTATTTGTCAATAACTGGTTTCTTTACTCATTTACTTACCTCGGATATTCTGTTCCCCAGAAGAAAGGCTTCTGGAGCTCTCCTGCTGGAAATCCTGGGAGAAAGACAAACAAACAAAAGTATAAGGGATATAGAGATTGATTTGATGATAAGTACCTGGTTCCAGCTTTAGCCTCAACGTTTCAAAGGCCCATATGAAAGGTACTCCTCGGGGAGCTGGGAACCCTCTAGGTCAGGAGGCCCAACTGTCTTGTCTCTAAGATGATATTAATTCAACTGAATTTGAATTAGGTACATTACATCAATTTCTCTTTTATCATTTTCATATGATTTCTTTTTTAAATTTACCTTTATTGGTAAAAGTATTACAGATGTCCCCTTTTTTTCCCTAGTGACCCCCCTCCACCTGTCACCCAACCCCTGCCCCTGGTCTTCACCACACTATTGTCTGTGTCCAACGGTTATGCATACATGCATGAGTTCTTTGGTTAATCTCTCCCACCCACCCTCTGCCTTTCCTCTGAGGTTCGACAGTCTGTTTCATGCTCCTATGTCTCAGGATCTATTTTACTCATTAGTTTATTTATTTATTTTTAAAAAATCTTTATTACTAAAAGTATTACATATGTCCCCTTTTTCCCCCATTGACAGCTCCCAGCCTGCCCCCACCTTTCACCCCAGGCCTTCACCCCCCCTATTGTCTGTGTCTGTAGGTTATACATATATGTATACAAGTTCATTGGTTGATCTCTTTCCACCTACATACCCTCCCCTGCCTTCCCTCTGAGGTTTGAGAGTCTGTTCCATGCTTCTATGTCTCTGGATCTATTTTTGTTCAGTTTATTTTGTTCATTAGATTCCACATATGAGTAAGATCATGTGATACTTGTCTTTCTCTGACTGGCTTATTTTTCTTAGCATAATACTCTCCAGGTCCCTCTATGCTGTCTCAAAGGGTAAGAGATGCCTCTGCACAGCAAAAGAAACTATCATCAGAATGAAAAGGGAGCCCACTGTATGGCAGAACATATTTGGCAATGATACATCTGATAAGAGGTTAATTTCCAAAATATATAGAGAACTCATACAACTTAACAAAAGGAAGACAAACAATCCAATTTAAAAATGGGCAAAAGAACTAAATAGACACCTTCCAAGAGGACATACAGATGGCAAGAGACATAGGAAAAAATGTTCAACGTCACTAATCATCAGAGAGATGCAAATCAAAACGATAAAGTATCATCTCACTCCTGTCAGAATGACTACCATCAACAAATCAACAAACAAGTGTTGGTGAGGAGAAAAAGAAACCCTAGTACACTGCTGGTGGGAATGCAGACTGGTACAACCACTATGGAAAAACAGTATGGAGTTTCCCCATTACATCAATTTCAAAGAAACCATTTTGCATACATATACTATTTGCATGTCTAGCCTGCTATGAACTAGAGTCCTTCATACTCAGAGTGTGCAGGAGGCTTCCAGCTATCCAGCAGCTTCCCCTAATACAAGAAGGACCACCTTTATGAACACTCACCCTGTGCAGTCATACAGGCCCTCCCATGCAGAAGGACCCTGAACTTGGTTTAATGCTCTGCTGTCACTGTCTTGAAACTCTTAATAATTTATCTCTGAATGTGATTTTGTAAAGGGCGTCCAAGGGGACAAGGAAGTATGTGTGTGAGCAAAGGAGTCATGCACGATTTGCGAGCCCATGGTTCCTAGATGCCTCACTTGCATAAAGTATTCATGATACTCCCCAGAGCACAGAACTCCTGTAGACCCACAATGTGTGGGAGTTCAGCAAGATGCAAAGTGAGTCTAAGGTAAGCATGTTACATCTAGGGCTGAGTAGGTGGGGGCTCCGACAGCTCCCAGAGGCCTCTTTCCATTAGAACCAGAATGTGCTTTGATCACTAACAGGCAGTAATGGCATTCTCAGAAACAAGAATGATTAAGGTAACCTGTCATGCTCTTTCTTACTATATTAGCCAACCACAAACACCAAAAATGATGACATAGAAGGAAAGGGAAAGATAAGGCGACCCACGGTTTCTTTTCCTTTCAGTCCTTTCTTACTCATCAGTAAATGAAAGGTAGAGAGAGTTGATAGAATGTGCGTGCATTAAAAAGTGAAGTAAAAACAGCTGAGTTAGTTTTGTGCAGTGTTATGGTAAGAACAAAATACATATGCATGTACCAGCTACAAAATACAAATTGAATAATTTAGGTGATTCCACATACAAGTTAAAAGTTCTTATATTTGCATTTAAAACTGGCATTGCACAATATAAAGATGAACAGTAAAATTATGCTGAAGATTTAAAATTTTAATTTTCCTCACAACAGCACTAAATAGCAAGTTAAAAAAAAAAATGACAAGTCTAGAGAACAAGAGGCCACAGAAGGCAGGAAAAAGCTTTATATTTTGGCACCTTTAACGGTACTTTTTCCTGCTTTCTGAACAGGGGGAGCCCATATTTTTATTTTGCACTGGGCCCTGCAAAGTATGTAGCTGGCTCCAGGTGCAGATGAGTGGGAGAAATGCTTTGCTTTGCCATTGCAGCTCACTACTAAATTTAGCACCCCAAGTTGATCCCAGGAGCTGCACTTACAAGTCATCACAACAGGGAATACAAAGAATAGTAACGAAAAGAGAAAGAGAGATATGCCTCCTTCGATGTCCTTGCCTCCTCCAGAGCCACTGTTCAAAGCCCCTTGAGACTGAAAGCTCTTTTATAAGATAAAATGCTTTCTCTTCTCTCTGTCCCTCTCAACATTCTTGCTACCTCCTCTCCATGGCAGCAGACTATGAGAAATGAGGGTAGGAAATCAAGTCCTTTTTTAAAAAATATATTTTTATTGATTTCAGAGAGGAAGGGGGAAGGAGAGAGATAGAAACATCAATGATGAGAGGGGATCATCGATCGGCTGCCTCTTGCACACCCTCCACTGGGGATTGAGCCCGCAACCCGGGCATGTGCCCTGACTGGGAATTGAACCATAACCTCCTGGTTCATAGGTCAGTACTCAACCACTGATCCAAGCTGGCCGGGATCAAGTTCTTAATTTAGAAATGAAATGTTAATTTTATGTAACTTGTAGGTATGTAAAGTCTTTATATCTTCTTAATAATGCCATAGTTTGAGATTTCAAGGTGCAAAACACTAATTGCAAAACAGAGATGGTTCCAGCTAGCAGTTCTCTCTTCCTGTTGCTTTCTGACTTTGAAGGGTAACATCATATTAACCTTCATAATCTCTACATTTCCTTTCATATCTTTTACATCTTTGTATCAATAGTCCATCTTTTCTGCTGGTGTTTACTTTTAGTAACTCATTCTGATTTCCATATGTACAAACCACAGTTTTTATAAGAAAATTCCATCTCACAAAATCTATGATCAAAGCAATGCTATTTCCTAATAAGAACAATGATCATAAGTGAATGTGATTTAATTATTAAATCATTCTGGCTTTCCTGCTTGGAAATGTGCCCAGCTGGAAGCATTTAGCCCACTGCCAATCTCTTTACAGGAAAACATCTAACACTCCATGAGCCTCCATTTTTCCACTTTAGCTGTTAGATAGAGGCCCCAGACTCACAGGTGGTGGCCATCACACCCCCCTGATCAGCTGTATCTTTCCAGCTTGTGGGGGCCATGGAACCCAATACTGGTCAACAGAAGAATCTGATGCCCTTACAGCTGTTCTGCTGAAGTGAATGGATTAACAGTTTAAGCGGCATTTTTGGAGATTTTCACTGGCAAGAATGATAGATTGAATCCCAACAGGGCCAACTCAATATCTTATCTCATAACTGGGTAAGTTGTATTTAGCAAAGGTAGAAGTAAAAGATCTATAATAATAAAAGCATAATATGCAAATCAACCAAATGGCTGAACAGCGGAATGACCATCCGGACAACTTTCCGGACAAAGCCGGGGCTGCGAAGGCCTACTCTTGCACGAATTTCTTGCACTGGGCCTCTAGTAATTAAATAAAAGGAAAGGGAATTCTTTCTCTTGCCCCTTTTAATAGGCTTTTCTTATGTTTTCTTGCATCTCCATTGCATTTCCTTTCTTCCCCATTTCAGCACTGCCTCACCACATTTCACACATTTAAGCCTCCTCCTTTTTCTATCAGTGTATTTGTGGGAGGCATTCCTCACAGTGTAAATGTGTACACACATCCACACACATATATGTGTATGAATATGAGAGAGATGAAATAGGGAGGGAGATGAAAGAGAAATTTAACTATTGGGTTGGCACAAATTAATAAATTTAATAATAAGCAATATTGGCCAGGGTGTAGGAAGTGTGTTGGTGGGAGTGAAATTGTTGCAAGCATTTGGAGAGCAATTTAGTCATCTCTTAATGCGTTAAATACCATTTAAAAAATTAGTAACTATAGAGCAGGAATGGGAAAATCCAGCCCTCGGGCCATATAAGGCCCATGAAATCATTTGGTCTGGCCCTGTGAAGGCATTAGGGGTGAATTAATGAAATGTTTGACCAAATATAGCAGGCTAATTTTTAAGTGGATCATTTTGTATGGCCCGTCAGGATGTTATAAATATCCAAATGGCACTTGGTAGAAAAAAGGTTCCCCACCCCTGCTTTAGGAAAAGCATGAAGAGATGTTATTAAGTAAAGAAGATAAGTGAAAAAAATAACACTCAGTCATGTATGGGGTCCTTTTATGTGTAGCACATATAAATGCACACAGTCAGTTCTGCTATAACACTCATACTGAAAAGGCAAATTTGTTCCACCATGTCTGATATATTAGGGGGGAAACTGGGGCATAACTCCAATTTCACATCTGCTTATGTGCCATTTCCTTCACAAGAAATGCTAGATGAAGGCAGAAAACTGCACCCAAATGAACCGCATAGGAATACACAAAATGCACACATCCCAACATGGATGGACCAGCTACCTCCATTCACTGTGCGTTAGAAGCCACACCCACTCACATCTCATATTAAAACTGTCCTTCCAATTTCAGATAACCCTCCTTCTACCACTATACAATAACTCACAAGCTGCAAGTCCTCCAGCGCCCACTTCCACAAGCAAACTTCAGG